GGTCCTCATGGATCTCATTCTCCCCAAGTTGTTGACATTTAATAGATACACGATTTTGCTCATATTTTTGAGCTAACATGTTTGTTTGTCAAATTTGAAGATAACTGCAGCTCACTTTTCATGCCCAGATTGGTTCTCTCAAGGAGCCAAGTCATTGATCCAGAGAATACTTGATCCAAATCCAAAAGCTGTAAGTACAAGCATGAGTTTGTATCATTGCATCATCTAGCATAGCAGTTACGACAAAGTTATCATTTGAGTTGAAGCTGCCAGAGTTGTGGTCATCAGTTAGTTATGTTAGTCTCACTATCTCCATTTTCATATCAGTGTTACCATATGTTAAGTAGATCTCATATAGATAGCAATGTGAGAAACTTGTTAACTAGAACCTAACCTGTAAATCTAGTTCAGACAGCATGGAGTATTTCATCTATCTAGATTTGTAAATTGCTGCCTATGGTTTCTTAGGCTTTCACACTATTTTGCAGCGTATCACTATTAAAGAGATGAAGGCAGACACATGGTTTAGCAAGAATTATGTAGGCGTTAGACATGGTGAAGATGAAAACGTCAGTCTGGATGATGTACAGGCTGCTTTTGATAATATCGAGGTTTGTGGGTAAAGCATTGTTTTGGTGCATATTGATGTTTCATATATTTATTTTTCTCCTTGTTCAGGGTCCTTCGTTAAATTTTAATATTTCTTGCTTCAGGACAAGTATGTATCTGAGCAAGTGACTCGTAATGATGGTGGTCCTCTTATGATGAATGCCTTTGAGATGATTACCCTATCTCAAGGTTTAAATCTTTCATCATTATTTGATAGACAACAGGTAATTTCGTTAGTTTCTTTAGTCAGCAATGGTTGAATGTTTACTTGCAGTATGATTAGCACAATAAAGTTCAATGCTTCGCTGGATAAGATTATAGAGATTCGATCTGTTCAGCTTTTTCCGCACTAATGGTTTTAGCAGCACTTTCCCATGCCATTTGGTCTCAGGTGGTATCTTATAATGTTCCACTAACTTCTGTGATGTTAGGCTCGAGAGTTGAAACATGAAGAGCATTGTCAGTATTCAGTACTACTGTTTTATACATACTTTAAGGAAGAAGACTTAACCCAGTCTGTGTTTTCCATTGGACTTGGTATTATCAGTTGTTTGGGACCTGCATGGTCTATGTAGATTTAAGCACTTGTTGGTCCCACATTTCATACTAATTTCCGTAGTCTTTATGTCGTGTCTGTTTACTGCCAAAGTATTTGAACACTTCAACCATATTTTCAGAACGGCAAATTTTAACATGGTCCCTCTTACCTCCTCTTTTCACATGCTCATGGATAAGTGGCATATTTGTGCTTCTCAGTTTTGTTTGGATTTCTGTTTATCTTCCTTTAGTGTTTGCTATGTGCATGCATAACTGCAATGCTCATGGATAAGTGGCATATATTTTGTATCATCTATTTTTTCATCTTTTGTGGCATAAACTATTCATCAATTCATGTAGCTGTAGAAGCCACAATGATGGATTTTTCTGTTTACAGGAGTATGTCAAACGCCAAACTCGCTTCGTATCAAGGAAACCTGCAAAGACTATAGCAGCTACTATTGAAGTTGTCGCTGATTCCATGGGTCTCAAGGTGCATTCCCAGAATTACAAGGTAATTGTAAGAAAACTGCTTCAGTAAACAACTCTAGGAAAAATTATTTATCTTTTGTTAATCTTGATAATGTATTGACACATATTTTTAAATGGACTGTAGTTACGTCTTGAAGGAGTATCATCAAACAAAATGAGCCCATTCGCTGTTGTTCTAGAGGTGATTTATCAAGCGTTTCAGTTTGTAATTTGTTCACAAACAACGTTTCACATATACTCTCATGATTTCGAGTGCATTATTTTCAGATATTTGAAGTCGCTCCCGCTTTATTTATGGTGGATGTTCGAAAGGTCGCTGGTGACTCTCTGGAATACCACAGGGTCTGTTCTTTTCGCATCACATCATGCATCCTATTGGAACTTTTGGGGGACTGTTGTGGTTGGAACATAAGATTTTGAAACTAGATGGTATCACCAGATAGCTGTTATAGTTAGGAAAAATATCTTTAGTTGTAAAATACACTAAACTTGATGTTTTTACTCATCAAACATAAATTTGCCACGAAAAACATAAGCCGCTTGTAAATTCCATGCTATGAGAAGTTGGATGCTCATCAGTAATTGATCTTTAAGCACATTATGCATGTGTGCTTAAAGAAAAGAAAAAGTGCTAGGCTTTAAGTTTGTCCAAAACCAAAACCATCGCTATGAGTTAGAGCTTCTTGATATCGTAGAGCAGTTTGGAAAATTTGAAAATTTGATATATTAGCTATTTTTCCACTCTGCCATCTTATCTGTCCTCAGAGTGTGCTAACTTTATTCTGTACTCATGGCAGTTCTACAAGAGCTTATGCAGCAAACTCGAGAGCATAATCTGGAGACCAATAGAGGTTTCTGCAAAATCTGCGTTGCTGAGGACAACTACTTGCTAGTATGGCACTACCACGGATACCTTTGCCAATAAGATTTCCAATTGCCAAGTTGGAGCTTTGCTGCTGCATCCGGCATCTCTTGCGAACCGCTTGCTGATCCACACGCCCTTCATCCATCCCAGTTGCTTCTGCGGTGACTGTAACTGTGTGTTACCATAGCTGAGTGACTTGAGTCAACCCTAGTAGATCAGATAATGCAGTCTGCTGCATTGCTAGTTTGACAGTATTGTAGATAGTTTGTGTCGAGCTAAATAGCGAGTACGGTCCGGATGAAGCAGGTACATAGGCTTCACGCTAGATCATGGGTATAGATAATAAGCTGGCTGTAAGTGTTCATGGCAAACCTTGCAAATGCTTGTAAGGCTGCAGCATGATCCGAGTTTTCTGAAGTTTTTGATCATTCTGCCGCCGAAAAAAAGGGGAAAGGGAGGATGATCTGTGAACAAGAAGCATCTATCTGATGCTGGAAACTGCATAACATTTAGCCGGGCTCAGTTCATTCTTTTACAAGGGTTAGGCGAAAAAGAAACATCTGTGGCTGCAGAGGCATGTCTCAGTCATGACGGTAAAAAGGCCAGGGACCTCGATTTGATTTGATTTGATTTGATTTGATAGCAGCCTAACTGGCCGGTGCAAATGTTGGAGTATAATGTCGGCCCTCTTCCATAATTCAGATTTTTGGGGCAACCAGCTGGTGCATGAATTCAATAACAAATGCACATGTCTATATCCTGTTTAAGTTTTTTTTAAATAATAGTGAGTGTCATTATTTTATTTTATTTTGCTGGTGAATGAGTGCCATTATTATGAAGGGTACAACAACAAAAGGAGCGAGGCATCCATGTGACAACGACTCTCCTGTAATCAAATTATTAGGCAACGTGTTTTGCAACGTCTACCCCCAATTCTCTATTGGCCACGGCGTGTCCACGCACCTTGCGGCGTACTCTCTTATCTTTGTTGTTACAATCAGGAGAAGAGAGTGAGCTGGTACGTTAGTTTCGCCATTCACTCAAATGACGTAATACAAGTAATGCCATCAGAACCGTTGTCGGCCTGGACTTGTCATCGTCGCAGGCGTGGCTCGCTCGTGAGTCGTGACAGGGGGCTGTTTGGAACGCGGGAATTTCATTTTACGTGAATTTGGCAGCAGCATTGGTATTGTTGGATGCGTACGAGAATACAACATCGTCCAGCTCCCACGTATTACTTCCAGATTTTCATCTGTGTATATATACAGTTTCAGCGATCAGCATTCAGCAGAATCTGCAGGCGAAAATCCTTGCAAGTTCAGAAACGGCTGGTGATTTCGTCACTGCAATGGCCTAGTACAAGTGCATGAACCGGGACAGAAGGAGGGGAGGGGAAGATCAAGAGCAGCAAGAGAAAGAAAGGGTGTGTCTAGATCTCAGTCGATTGAACGGTAATACGTACTCCCATCAGACACGTCGCTTTACTTTCTATATATACAAAGGAAATCAGTCTCTGCGCAAATGAAGAAACTCCTGAGCCGTTTCAAGCCTTCAACTGATTTCCCTGCAACGCCCAGATAGTCACCTGGCTTTCGTGCTCCGAGACGTCTTCAACGACTTCATAGCTTCCCTGAATACTCCAAGGAGAAGTATCAGGTATTTGGAATTTGCATAGTTACGTCTGGCACTTGTAATTCTTTAGGTAGGTGTTCAACGTATAACTAATACTTAGGAGGGGCACATCCGCGCCGACGACCGGAAGGGGAAGGGGCCGGCGAGAAAATGATGATTTCCTCCGCCCTACCCCGTTATGTTTATATTTTATATGGATTTGCCATTGAACTCCGATGAACTATGCTTCTTTTGTCCAGTGATGCATAGTATTGTGTTTACGTAGCGTTTCATGGGTTGTATAGTTTTGAGGGTTTAGAGATGAGGACACATATGTGAAAGTCACTAAATGAGGCGTACCTGGTCAGTGCCCAGGCGCATCCGCGGGCATTTTAAGGCTTGGATTTGCTACCTGCCCTTATAGATGTTCTTACTCACCTAGGACTATGCATGCATGTTACTCTGTTCCGAATGTCTTTTAAAAGGTTTCAATACGAACTATATACAGATGTATATAAACATATTTTAGAGTGCAGATTCACTTATTCTACTTCGTATGTAATCCATATTAAAATCTCTAAAAAGACTTAGGTTGTGTTTGTTATGTACTCCCTCCGTCCGGAAACACTTTTGTCCGAAGAAATACTCATTAGTGGAGGGAAACACTTGTCCGAAGAAATACTCATTAGTATTTTGTGTTTGTCAGTTACATGCAACGGTAATACTCCCATCAGACACGTCGCTCTACTTTTACTCCCTCTGTAAAGAAATATAAAAGCATTTAGATCACTAAAGTACTTTCTAAAGGAAATCAGTCTTTGCGCAAATGAAGAAACGCCTGAGCCGTTTCAAGTCTTCAACTGATTTCCCTGCAACACCCAAATAGTCACTTGGCTTTCGTGCTCCGAGACGTCTTCAACGACTTCATAGCTTCCCTGAATATTCCAAGAAGTATCAGATATTTTGGAACTGCATAGTTACGTCTGGCACTTGTAATTCTGTAGGCGCCATTGCACGACAGTATATATTGATAATGAATATGACATGTGTGCCTCTTTCTAAATATCAGTAAAATACTACTCAAGGGCAGATTACGGAGTTACTATACATCAGGGTAGGTTGGTGTACGGCAAGAGATGGCATTGCCATTGATAACAGTACAAAGTGGCATTCAGAAATCCTAACAAACACAAAATAGAACGGAGCTAGTCAATATCTTCACAAGTTCTCCAGTCTCATGACAAGGGCACATGCATGTACTTACAGCATACGCAAGTGTTCAACGTATAACTAATACTGTGCTTGAGATGTGCTGAAACACGGCCAGCCAGTCGTCAAAAGGCATTAATGTAACCAAAGAGGCAGATGGGTTTTACCGTAATGCATCCTCGATATCAGTGTCCACTGGGTCCAATTTGAGTCCATCCAAGAACCGTTCACTTGCGCCCTCATAGTCCTGATGATAAAAGACCAAGGGAGCGATCATAAACAATTTGCAATACCAAGAGAAAACAGCCAGCCATATCCTCTATGTAACCTTCAGTAGCATCAGAGCTTCACCCTGCCGGTGACAAGCTTTTGGCCAGTGAGGCCGCATTTTTCTGCATTTATTAGCATCTAGCAAAGCCTTTCTTCCATTCCCCATGTTAAGCCAACAAAGGCTCCTGTCTGAGAACAAGACCGCATCATCAGGATCAAGCTGCATTGCCTACATCACACAAGACAAATCGACAATTGAGCTACTAAGTTTCTTTTAACTCACATTGAATTAGTTATTAACTGAATAAAAAAACAGTTAGGAAGCTGTGAACACTCAAACAAGAAATCTACACATAGCTGCAGAGAAATTCATACTAGCCTACATAAAATACAAATTAGCAAGTCTACAAAAGCCAGCCTAACATACATTTACTAAATATATAGCACAATGTTAAAGTACACTCATTCATTCTATTCTAGTCCTAACAAGAAATCTGCACATAGCTGCAGAGTAACTTTTGAACTAAATAACTTATATTAAACAGCTTGCTTTTCCATTAGCCCACTCGTTCATCCTAGTCATCCCTGTGTTAGTGCAAGCAAGGAAGCAATTCCAAAACAAAAATATAGTTGTCTCACAAAAAAGTGGTCAAGACACAGAAATCCTAATCACATCCTGAAACATATTGCATTAGTCATCAAGGTAACACTATTTTTTCCTGTTTATACCTGAGCAGAAGTACCAACAATATCTCACGGTCCATATCCATTATCACAAAATGAGTACTTTGCACCACGAAATTTAGAGGATACATGACCAAAGCAACAAAAAGAAAGACACAGCATACTGTCAGCTGAACCCTATTCTGAACAAATCCTAAGTTATTAGAAATAACAAAGCCAGCTGGAGTCTACGCCCCGGACCCTTTCAGTAGGAAACTTCCCATGACTAAAGTTTTTGATAAACGACACCCAGCTCCATGTGGAGCTCTAGGTATTCTGGTATATTTTTGCCCAAAAGTATTATTTTGGACTATGCATTCAACAATTAATGCGAAACCAGGATAAAATCCTTTTGAAATCATATATGAAGTTGTGAACCTTAAATATTTTCAGACTGAGAGCTATGCAAGAAACTATAAATTATAATGTATGCAACGTAAACCGAAATGCTGGAAAGCTAAACAAAGCAAGAAATATATGGTGCTTTAATCTACCTGACTGTACAATTTTGCTGCAACAACATAATCTTTTTCCTTTAAAGAGATACTCCCTAGTGATATAAGCTCTGATGCCGCGATTTCCCGTTTAAGCATAGGCTCCTCCTGAACCTACAGAACATCAATTAAATCAATCTATGCAGGATGCATGCGATACATAATATCTGAACGAACTACCTGAATTTTCGCTGCAAATATATGGAGGAAAAAAGATTTGATTACATAAGCGTATCTTTTCTCAAATTTCTATGACTGCACAAGCATAATATTTCGACTACTCATGATAATCTCCTAACATCCATGCTCAGTATTGTAAGTACAAAAATTACCACCAAAATTGCCATAATCTGTTTAGGTAACTATTAATATCAACATGGCACATATGCAGATGTCCTCCCCAGCCTCAATGCGCCACTAGTTTTTTCAGCAAAAAAATGGTTACAAAAGTGTCTGGTACAAGGGGGTCACAAATTGCAGCATGCACAGCTGCAGCCAGTATGGAAAACAAATGCCAGAAAAGGAAGTAAAAAGAACAAATTCAGTATGGAAAATAAACATAGAAAATGGGCACCCAACAAACTTAAATTCATGGACTTGACAAAGCTCAGATGAATGTACAACACCTTAACTAGGAGCTTGATACATTCCGTTGAGTTGGCATCTCTAGCAGCCATAAGAGGTGTCACACCATTTACCATCTTGTTGTACTGGAGAAATATTAAGATATCAGCTCCAATGGTCAATACATAGAACTAAACTGATGAGGCAAGCTTTCAGCAAAGACAATTGATTCGTACACCCACAGTAAAATCAGTGAGAAGGTTATTTTTGTCAAGATTATATTGGTAATCAGGCCCTAATGCCATTGAGCCGACATACGTGCTCCTATAGTCCAAAGATAATGCCATGATTACCACCGCATATCATTTATTTATGATTGTTTACATGGAATCTGCAAGCAGAATTGCATGGTATACTGCGTTCCCGCTCATATCAATCTGATGGGAATTTCACAGCCACAGTATGAATGGAGCATAAGCCATTCTAGTTTACAGATCCAGACTGTTTTGTTTAAAGAAAGATACGATCTTTTAATCATCACTGGCCAGTCATTAGGATCTCAAACCCCAACAAAAGCAATGCAGCCATCAATAAGAGAAGGTACTAAAACCTGAATATGGAACCACAACTAGAGAACGAAGAAGATGATGCATCACGCCAGCAGTGAGAACGATTTGGGAGGCAACAGCGCCCTCACACAGTCACACCCACAGCTTTTTTTTGTGACAATTTCTTTTGTTACTGGTGTATCCTGGGCCTGTGTTTGCCTTTGATCATGTGCTACAAAAAAGCCCAATGAGGACTTGTTTGGATTGGAAATAATCAAAGCCAAAATTTTCATAGCTAAGTTAACTTTTAATAGGAGTATTTAGGGATGGGGCCTAATTCCCATCAAGGGGGGTATTCAATAAGATAAGACCATGATCTACAGCATGGCTACTCGATTCATGATTCATCAGGTTCACAGTTCGCTACTTCCTACTTCCCAAAGTGCAGCATGGATCTCTCCAATTCAGTAACAGGAGATGGGTTCACAAACACAACAATTCTGGTTTTATGGATCTAGTTAGTATGCAACATATTTTTATCTCTTTGTAAAAATGTAAGATGAGAAACCAAGTAAGATGATAGGTATTTTTTTGTGACAATTTCTTTTGTTTCTGGTGTATCCTGTACCTGTGTTTGCCTTGATCATGTGCTACAAAAATGCCCAATGAGGACTTGTTTGGATTGGAAGGAATCAAAACCAAAATTTTCATAGTTAAGTTAACTTTTAATAGGAGTATTTAGGGATGGGGCCTAATTCCCATCAAGGGGGATATTCAATAAGATAAGACCATGATGTACAACATGGTTACTCGCTGCCACATGCACAATACCAAAAGACCAATGCATGCAAACATGGAATCAGAAAGACACCTTTTTAAAAAAAAAAAATCAAGAACTTCTATCTCTCAAATCGTGTGTCTGATTGACGATCTGTGCTCATTGTTGGCTTTGCTGTGATGATACCGCCGAAAGTAGATCCCACGTACATATGTTTCGATACCTTCTTTTTGTTACTAATTGCCAGGTTAGAGCCACTTGGTAACCGGGTTATTAAGTCAGTTACGAGATTATTGCGACTCCACAACCATGTAAGACTGGAATGATAGTGACATGTATTAGGTTATTTGACTTCCCAATGAGGTGACATTTTAGGATATTGCACATGCACAGCAGCTAAGCCACTATATCCATGTTAAAGTGTTTAAAATATTAGTAATTATGCTACACAAAGAGCCCTGGTTTGATGCAATACATGCATGCACACGGCAGAACTTTGGCTAATAGCTAAACATAAATATATCGATGACTTCGACTAGAAGCGTGTGCAAGATTATTATTTAGTACAGCTAAGAGTATATCAGGAAATACCACCAAACCTCTACTTAGAAGCGTGTACAACATGTACTTCTGAACAGAGAGACACATTACAAGAACTTAACCATCGGGTTTGAAGATAATTTATTAGCACAGAACAATATTGGTAAATTACTTACATGAAACAAAGGAAAATAGCTCTGAATAAGATAACACAAAACAATTTGCAATGCAGAGATGCAGAACAGAGATATGTGTTTATAGAGGTTGGACCTAATTCAGCGGCATAATGTAACAGGAAAGCCCCATCGTTATTGGCTTTGTCTGGATTAGCACCATGATCAAGAAGATACTCTGCAGTACCCCCATTGTGGTATTTTGCAAACAACAGAGGTGTTCTACCTATAAAGCAGACAAACACACAAAAATGAAATTATATCAAAGCACTTCTCAGCATAGCAAAAAATGAGATCTTTTTTGTATCAAAGCATGTCTTATCTTCAAAAGCATACCACCACAGAAGTTTCCTAACACTGCTCTATCTTCTCTGAGTATAGAATTTAGATATGGCTCCCCAAGACACACAAAGTAGACCCATCGAATTAGATATGATGTGAAGCAGGGTTTTCATAATGCTCGAGAGAGTATTGGTTAAATGGAACTGACACATGAAAATTAGACATTAGGCTACCCGAATAGAAGAATCAAATGCATCCTCAGAGTTGGAGTGCATACATATGTGCAATAACTAAAGAACCAAACTATCCTAAAATAAAGATTAATTTGCCCTCAAAGAGTAGCCTATTTAATTATTTATATGAACAGTGCTTATGTAGGGTATTCACATTCAGTATCATAATTAAGCCCGACTTATTTGTTCCCTTGAAAAGACCAACTTATTTCATATAAAGCTGCATGATCATGAGTTAGCACAACAGAATATGATAAATCATAATTTTATTTTGCGAGATAAATATTGGTGCTTTATAATACATTGGTTCATACTGACGTAGATAATCTTAGGCTCTGTTTATGGTTGCTGGACTGTGTTGTGCTGAGCTTGGAGCAATGGCAAAAGCTGGTTCCAAAAGCTGGATTATCATAATGCACCTCTATGCCAAACCCAGAGAAAGCACAAAACAGTCGGATATCATGACACCTAACCTACAGATCAAGCAACCCTTGTGAACAATAAATCCAGCATGTGAGATAGCACTTCATACGATTCGACAAAACCTACACTGAATGTGTGTGCAGGGTCCTAAACTAGTATATTAGGGTTTTGAAGATAGATGGACCTTCCTTGTCGACCAGATCCACATCTATCAGCAGCTCCTCGACGAGGTACCTGCACACCTCAAGACTACATCTACTGGCCGCGATGTGCAGCGCACTGAAACCTTGAAGCTTCGCATCATCTTCCACCCTCAACTCCTCAATCGCCTCCTTGGGGCGGCCCCTGCCCGTGTCCAGCATCATGACCAGCGCTGCGATGGATTGGGCCTCCAAAATGTTAGCAGTCAAGCAACGAAACTGGGTCAGGGTCGGAATCCGGGACGGGGGAGGGGGCAGCGTACCCTTGAAGCGGGGGAGGTTGTCGTCGGAGGCCGCCTGGAAGACCATGTCCAGCAGCGGGTCGCGGACTGGGGCGGGAGGGGGCAGAGTCAGGATTTGGGCTGGGGTTAGGGTTAGGGATGGGCTGTGGGCAGAGGCGCTTACCGTCGGATCGATCATGAGAGCGAGGCGACGCCATGGCGTCGGTGGAGGGGGGTGGTGGGGAGGGGAGAGGAGAGGAGCTTGGAGTTTTGAATCGAGAAAGGGCAGCGAGGAAGATGAAACCAAGCGAGGGCGAGGCGTACCCGCGGGCACGAGGACAGTGGCTCAGTGAGAATGGGCGAGGCGCCCTCGTCAGAACAGTGTTGTTTCACCCACTCCCACTTCAACGACTGAAATAAAGTAGCAGTTCAAATCTTTTTTTTTCTAGGAAGCTATGGTTCAAATTACTTCTTCCAAATTTCTCTTAAATCACGATTGATTTGGTGGGAGCCCTGGGAGTCAATTGACCCGATTGTTTTTTTAGGGGTAAAACACAACTTTATTTATCAAATTCCACATGGTGTGGGATGCGTCTTTGGTCATGGGACTAACCAAACCAGACATGGCGACCAGCGTCTCTAAAAAGAGAAAATTTAGCTAGACTATGTGCTTCATAATTAGCAGCACGACTCTCAAAAATAAAATTACAAAGAAAGAAAGAAGCTTTAAGGTTGGTCTCTTTTATAATTGATCCATATCGCCCCCGAGATTTCACACCGATATCCAGGACAACCTGTCTGCAATCTGAAGCAACGACAAAATTCATGATGTTCAGGTCTTCTGCTAGTGATAGTGCTTCGTGACATGCTACTGCTTTCAAGGTAGCTGGATCAAAAGTTCCTTCAATTACTAAGGCCGAACTACCCGTGTAGTTGCCTACGTCGTCCATGCATACCGCGACTGCCGAACCTCCTCGTGATCGCACCCCTGCATCGACATGGATTTTACAAAAGCCTGGGGGTGGCTTCTTTGGTTCCCGTCGTTGCATTGCTGGGGTCTCGGCCTATGGACTGGGTCGTTGTTTTATGTTGCCAACAATCCTAGTTCTTCAACAAACCGACGGGCATTCCAACAATGAATGGCGCCATGAATCTTGGACTCCACACAAACCACACTGGTCAGAATTGGTCATATGTCGGTGCGCTCAGACATCATTCGTCGGCAGAGACTGTTTTGACAGTCTCCACAAAAACATATGGATCTTGCCAGGAACTTCTATTTTCCAGAGAGACTTCCATGCTCCCTCCTCTGTTGCCGAACGCGATGTTCCTGCTGTACTCTCGAGCCAAGCCTCCCTCCTCTGTCTTGTTGCCACAAGCATATTGTAAGCAGATTTAACTGAGAAAATGTCATGTTTATCAAAATGACAGGCCCAAAAATCTGGTAGGTTCCGTGTGCACAACGGAATTCCCGTTATGACCTGAACGTCCATTGGCATAAAAGTTTCATGAACACGTTGCTTATTCCATGAAGCTGTCGTGTGATCGATGAGTTCCGAGACCAAGGTAGGCCTGTTGGGCGATACACACCAATATGGCCTAAGTATTTCATCTCTTGGTAACCAGTTATGTGTCCAGATGTTTGTGGTCTCCCCATTCCCAGTTCTTCTTACCAAACCATGTTTCAAAATGTATCGACATTCAATGACTGCTCTCCACACTTGACTTGGGTGACTTCCCAGTTCGGCCGCAAGGAATTCAGACGACGAGTAGTAGATGCTCTTTAGCAGGCGGGTGCTTAATGTCTCTGGGTTCTGCAGTATAAGCCATGCCTGCCTGGCCAGCATTGCCAAATTGAATAACTCAAAATCTTTGAAACCAAGCCCACCTAATCTCTTTGGTTGTGTCATCGATTTCTAGGAAACCCAATGTGGCTTCCGTTTTCCTTCTTTACTTCCCCACCAGAACTTCCTTATTAGCATGTTTAGGTGTTCACATAAACCCCTTAGCAGCTTGAAGCACGACATTGAAAACACTGGCACGGCTTGAGTGACTGATTTCACTAGCACTTCCTTGCCTGCAGATGACAAGGTGCTCTCAATCCACCCTTGGACCTTGCTCCACAACCGGTCCTTTAGGTATTTAAATGCCCCATTCTTCGAGTTACCGATGTCAAACGACATCCCCAAGTACTTCTCATTAAGAGTTTCATCAGGGACATTTAATATATCCTTTATTTCCTGTCTTACTGTCTTTTGGCACCCCCTTGCTGAAATAAACTAAAGACTTTGAGTAGTTGATGCGTTGCCACGTGGCCTGACAATAAGTATCGAGAACATGGTACACCTCATTAGCTCCCACATCGTTTGCCTTGAAAAACAGCAGGTTGTCATCAGCAAATAGAAGATGGTTCACTAGTGACGCTGTATGTGCTACTTGTAGTCCATGCAGATTGGATGACTCACTCTTGGATTTTAAAAGGCACGATAGGCCCTCTGCTGCTAGCAAGAACAAGTATGGAGATATCGAGTCCCCTTGTCTGATCCCTCTTGAAGGTTTAAAATTATTGAGCTTCTTACCATTGAAAAGAACTGCAAACTCAACTGCTGTTACCAAGCCCATGACAATATCCACCCACCTCTTAGTGAAACCCAACTTTAGCATTATAGCCTTTAGATAAGGCCACTCCACCCTATCATACGCTTTCATCATGTCCAGCTTCAGAGCACATGATTGATTTTTCTTGGCCTTGTTCCTCTTCATGAACAGACACTCATAAGTTGTGATGATGTTATCTGTGATCAACCTACCTGGGACAAAAGCAGATTGTTCCTCTGATATAATGTCAGGTAAAACTACCTTCAGTCTATTAGATATGACCTTCGAAGCAATCTTGTACAACATGTTACACAGGCTGATTGGCGGAACTGTGACAGAAGTGTGGTTTTTTTACCTTTGGTATAAGAACCAGAATAGTTTCATTGATGCATTCTGGAGATCGGGTTCCTTCAACAATTTTCAGGACCACCTTTATGACATCGTCACCACAAATCTCCCAATGATGTTGGAAGAAATGCGCTGGGTAGCCATCAGGACCCGGGGCCTTAATTGGAAACATCTGAAAAAGGGCATTTTTTACTTCCTCCTGGTTGTAGGGAGCATTTAACATATCGTTCATAGCCTATGTTACTTTCACTGGAACCGTATCAATGACCTGCTCCATAATGTTGACTCCCACTAACATATAAAGATGTTGGTAAAAAGAAGCGGCCATGTTTTCCATCTCTACCACATTTTCAGTGAGCTCACCGCTAGGCTTCTGTAGCGCTTTAATTTGGTTTTTCCTCCTCTATCGACTCGCTCTGAGGTGAAAGAAATATGTGTTTTTATCCCCATGAATGAGCCACTCCAGGCGCGCGGGTTGTCGCCATAAAATCTCCTCCCAATGATAAAGTTCAATTAATCTCTCTATTAGTTTGAGTTCTGCATGCAACGGTCTGGATCGGTTTGGGATCTTGCACATCTCCTGTAGCTCTCTGTTCAGGCGCTGGATTTCTTGTCGCATGTTCCCAAAATGTGTTCTGTCCCAAGTGGACAGGTCTGTTGACAGTGACCTTAGTTCGTCGCGAATGTCCAAAGCAGATTCCCTGGCAGTGCACGCCCTTGCATGCTCCACCACCGGCGTGAGGCCCGAGTCCCTCTCCCATGCAATTTTGTACTTAAATGACTGCGGGGCCCTTTTGCATGCACCCCCATGCACTTACTGGACGTAGATGGGTACATGATCGCTCGTCGTCGCAGATTTGTGCTCGAGGACTGCCGCTGGGAATGCAATTGACCAGGCTGGGTTCTCCACCGCCCTGTCTAGTCTTACTCTAGTGTAGGTCCCTCCGGCTACCTTTTTCTCAAAGGTCCAACTATTACCAGTGTAGCCTATGTCCGACAGGCTGCACGTGTCTAGGGCGTCTCTGAAAGCTTCCATCTGCGCCTGGCTCCTGCTGCCAACGCCATTGTGTTCATGTGCATGGATTACCTCATTGAAATCACCTAGGACAAGCCAGTGTATATCATTTGCACCTACTATTCCTCGTAACATATCCCATGTTTTGTATCGTTCATTTACTCGAGCTTCTCCGTAGACAAAGGTCACTCTTGTCCTGACATCAACAAGTACAACAATTACAACATCAATATGATAGCGAGAGTAACCACCAACTTCAAGCTTTATTTTCATTGTTCCAAAAAATGCCTAAACCACTTCTTCCCGAGCTACTGACAGCAAAACTCTTATTATAGCCTAAAGAAACAACCATACTCTCTACTCTAGATCCCTCTATTTGAGCTTCAAGGATGAATAACACAGAGGGGACGAATTACCTCGTTAGATCATGAAGCTCTTGGACTGTCGCGGGTTTGCCAGCTCCGTGGCAGTTCCAGCATAGGAGACTCATTGCGCTCGGCGCGACCCCACATGGGGGTCCGCTGTACGCGCATCAGAGTTTTTGGTTGAAGTTGTGTTCTTTCCATCAATCATGTCACTTGGAGTTGTGTTGGGCTTGTTCCTTTTCTGGTATTGTTTAGAAGAAGGGCTGAGTGGAACTTCCAGGGGCGGTAGCAGCATGAGCTTATCCGACTTTCCTTTGAGTGCATCTTGAACGATAGTAGCCTTCGGATCTGCCACTACTTCCCTTTTTCTGTTTCCGTTTGCCTCTCTCATTGTGACATCCAATCCCTGAAAAACATTATCATGCTCTTCGCCGCCTTCAGTGCTGCTGTGATCTGCTAGACCTCGGCCTCGGCCGCTTCCACAGCCTCTCCCTCGACCTCCCCTTGAGTTTCTGCCTCTTGTATGAGATCTCCCTCCCCCCGGTCCTCTGCCTGGAACTCTAAACCATGTTGCCTGTAGATCTTTATAAACCAGTGCTTTTGGAGGGTGGAGTCCATCACCACACTCCTTGAAAAGATGCCCCAAATAACCACAGACCATACACCAGTCAGGGAGCCGCTCATATTTCACTCTAAAGATAAGTCGCTGAACAGAGTCCTTCTTCTTGATCACCAGAGATACTGCATTCTTGAGGGGTTTTGTGACATCAATTTTAACACCTACCCGGACAAAATTACCCTCAAAATCATGTGAACTTGGCTCAACATAGATGAACTCGCCAACTGTTGCAGACAAAGCCTTGATCTTGGAGA